AAGAAAAGAAAAAATACAGAGAAAAGCTGACAACTATAGCGAGAAATATGAGAATAACATATCATGTTCCGCGAGGGAATCCCGGCTAGAAAGTCAGTATCACAGTGTGGCGGGTGCGCCAAAAGATATGTCCGGCTACACAAATCTGAATGAAGGGTATCTGGTCCATCCGTATGAGGGTGCGGAGCTGGATAGGAATATCGTCAGGGTAAAGAATGCGTCTGTGGTGGGGTGGAGGACCCGATGCCAGCGAGGAAGTCAGCTGGCCGGTTCCCCTCGCGGAAGATGTGCGAGATGCGGGAGCGAATCGACTGGAGAGTGGCTCTGATTCGTATGGGAGGATGTTGGATCTGCCACGTGCCCTGATGTCCAGATGACAGAAGAGTGATGACAGCGGCCGCGTCCAACTCTATCCAAATGTGAGAGGAGATCGAGGCGGCAATCTGCAGACCGATCTGAAGCGCCTGAACCTCCGCGTCATAGCTCGAGGAGGGCCGAAGAGGGGCATGAAACGCGGCAATAAGGGCGCCGCTATGATCCCTAATCAGGCCCCCACCTCCTGCAACTCCAGTAAGTCTATCAAATGCTCCATCAGTGTTCAGCTTAACCCAAGGCGACTCGAGTTTCAGCCAAACAACAACTCTGGGACGTGGATGCTGGACAGGCCCCAGCGAAGGTGGTGCAAGGCGGTGAGGTGGCGTGCAGCCTTTCCAGTCTCTCTGGGTGAGTCTGTCCAAAGCGGTGAGGAGGGAAAGATGTCGGTCAACCTGCAAAATAATATGAGAAGACAAAAAAGGGTTATCCCTATGCTTCGCGTTATTCCTTTCTATCCAGGTGGCCCAAAGGATCAGACAAGAAATAAGGAAGCTCACGTGTCTACTGTGTGTGCGGTGTTTGAAAAAACTCAGAAGCTCAAAAGAATGTATCTGTAGAGGGTAGGGGCATATGAGTGTAACTGGTATAATGCTCTCACACTCTCCTCACAGTCTCGCTCTCTAAAAACAGGTGGGTAAAGGTCTCTGTCTGAAAATCGCCAGACTCGGCACAACAGTAGCAACGCGAGGGGAAGGAGAACCCCCTCGTATGCATCACAGTGTCAATCGGTAGGCGGCGCAAAAGGAGGCGTCAAAGGAAAACATATATGGTAGGGGTAAGTAGGTCGATCCAGATGGCCCCGCAGAGAAGGTTAGGCCGGTCACCCTGCCGTACTTCCCCCCAAGCCGAGGTCGTTGAGAATGCACCCGAAGATGTAAGCCTCCACCTCATACTGTCCAAACCCTCATCCGGGATGGGAATCTGATGGATCTCATCAATCACCTGAACACTAAGGCCCGCTCCAGAACCCAGAATCCTCTCTAGCCTATCCCTATCCCATCTCCCTTCCATCCACAGGTCCTTCATCTGTAAAAAGGAAAGGTGGGTGACCTATCTAGTGCTCGAAATGGGGCCCTCACCAAACCACCACTATCCCAAAAGCTAACCTCCCCCTCCCCCAAAGACCAAAAAATGTGCTCCTGAGCACGTCTACCAACCATGGTGAGCCGCCACCACTGCCTGCTATCGCGGGCGGTAGCCGTCACCCCACAGGGATGGGCAGCGCCTCCAGGACAGTACTTCCGGCGAAGATACTGAGCCCAAAGTGACTTACTCTCCCTAAATCGCCACCACATTTTGTAAGAAAATGTAGTGACGACATCCGAGAAACGCCGGATCACGAGACCCCCTCAGATAAGGGGCGACAAACAGAGCTCCACCTCACCCAATGGACATGTCTCCCTCTCCTAGAACCCTCCAACAGTGACTGCAGTGTTCTCACCATTAGAATGCGAGTGTGTGATTCAACAGTGACCGCAATACCCTCGTCGATCCATGTGAGTGTATGATCCAACCATGACGGCAGTATAGTGCCCTAATCAAATTTTCGTGTGAGTCTATAATCCATTAATGACTGTAATACCCTCATCGACAGAATCAAAATATCCTTGAAAGTGTGAGACCCAATAATAAGTGCAGTGCCCTTATCGGTAAAATCACATATACATATACGTACGAGTTGTATGATCAAACAATAACAACAATACGTGTAAGACCCAATAGTAAGTGCAGTGCCCTTATCGGTAAAATCACATATACATATACGTACGAGTTGTATGATCCAACAATAACAACAATACGCTCACCGATAGGATCGAATTTACTGTTTATATATTTATAATATTTTGTTTATATCCTTTATTTTTCTTTTTCTAATCCCTAGCTTTATTTATACAAGTCTTTTGCTAATCATTCCGCGCCACGAAAGAAAGCAAGGCAAGTCCACTTTCATCATTTCACACATCTTATCATCATGCGTCAACGACCCCCTTACCCTTACCCTCCTCACCACTTTCAACACAGCCATCATTACACCCACCATAAAACCTCAATTTCATCATTATCTATCAAGAAAAAATTCATAAGAGCTCTTGATTATGGCTGTTGTCTCAGCCCAGAAGCTAATCATGACAAGCTGCTGCAACAAGGCAANAAAATTTCTTGTTATTATATTATAAAAAGAGAAGAAAATTAGTGGCTTCATTTTGTTTTGAAATATGACGAGTGGCACCCATTTGTTCAAAACTCATGATGATATATTTCTCTTCTCTTTCTTTCTTTTTTTTTTCCTTTAATTTTATCTCCTTGTTTGTTTTCTTTCTTTCAAGGGGAATCAAGCATCATGGTCCGATTGATCTTGTATGATCAAGCTTCTTTTAACGTTTTAAGGTAAGTATATTGATAGATCTTGCAGTATTTAGGGTTTCTTGTTCAAGTTTGATAAGTTTTAGATGTGAGCGTGAGAATTTGATTGAGTGATTTGTAAGCAAAGATCTTGATTTGTATAATTGTACGTGTGGTTTAATATTGTGTAATGTTTTTTTTTTTAATACATTTCGTGTTGTCGTTTTGGATTTGCGTGTGTTGCAGATCTGTATTATCATTGTATTTGAGGTGAATGAAATGAATTTTTCCCCCTTTAATTCAGGCATTTATTTATGGTGTTTAGAGAGTCTAGGGTTCACAAACGTCAGAGTTTAGGGTTTGATCTTTTGTCATCTCGTGTACTTTTTTGGATCTATTGATTGTAGCTACATTGAAATTCAATCATATCAATAGTTATAATGGGGTTTTAAAAATTTAATTACTTGACAATATTCCGGATAACTAATAGAAGTAGTGAACTCCATGATTTGAACTTTGAAGTTCATCGAAGGCCTCATTCGAAATAAGTTATTTTGGATTTAATTGGGTTTTTAGAATTAAGTAAATTAATTAAAAAAATATATTTTAGTTAAGTTTGAGTGAAATTTTGAGTTGGTAATTAAATAATATTAAAAATATAATGATTTAATTTATGTTATGTGAAATTAAGGTAGATGTGATTGGGAGTAGTGATGATATATATTTAAAGTTACGTAAGAAGATGAATAATGAATTAAAATTGATTTGATGTAAGAAGATAAATAATGAATTAAAATTGATTAGATATATTGAAAATTGATTGGTATGTTTAATTATATTGATAATAATGAAGAAAGTTGAGTCGATTTATGGTTTGGTTAATAACTATAGCTGAATATATTGTATCCAATCATAAATAGGCCCTTGAGTCTTACAATTGTATATTTACTCATGATTACTTTGTTATTAGTGTGTATTAAGTATAACTTTATTGTTGATTAAACTATGTCAAAGTTATTGTGTACCTTCATGTTCAAGTGGTTTTGCAGTTACTCTGAAATGTACAACTAATTAATTTCAAGCTCGAATTATTCAATATCATCATGAATATTTACAAAAGTCAGTTATCCAGATTTATTTTTATTAATTTCACTATTCATGTACGTAGATGTGTTTCAGAGATTCATTCGATCTTACTGATTATTGCAGTAGAGTTACCGAGTTCTTTTTACCGTTCGATCAATTCACAGTAGGCGTAATTTTTCAGTTTTGAGAACAGTATTCTATATATGACATTCTTGAAATAGCAATTAATAATGTCTCTACATAGAATTTAATGATCTTGTATTTTGCAGTTGCATGTGGTAACTATATAGAAGTATTTTTTAATATAATGATCACCGACAATCACATAGAACTGAAACAATATGTGACACGACTTTAGCAGAAGCACTTATTACTGTCCTTGAATAAATAACATCAATTAATGACTTAGATTTATTAGAAAGCTTGAACTTTTATCAGTTTTGTTGATCTAGGCCTATTATTTATAAGTTTTGTTTGCATGATTTGATAAAATATATTTTTGAGTTCATTAAACTTGGGATGATATAAATTAAATTATGATATCAAAGCCAACATTGTGCTATGAAGAAGTAAACGAGTACCAATAAATGGCTCGTCATTCAAATAAATGTGTAGCTAATTAGTTTTGATCATCATTTAGGTGAAAATCAAAATTGCCTAAATTTTTCAGTACTCTTCGTTTCGTTCATAAAGAATTTTTTGTAATTTTGTTTATCTGCTACATATGAAAAACTAACATAAATTAATTCCTTATTTTTCTGAATAATTTGAATATACCCGATTGACAAAAGATTTTACAGCAATATCTTAAATTCATTTTACTGAAATTAGAAATAAAATATGGTGACACGTCTGACTAGACTTAGAAATGTAAAATAAAATGTATATTTTTTTGTCAACAAAAAATTATATTACTTTCTCACTGGAAGTTACTTAAAGAGCCAGATTTAGGTCAAATTTGTTTCAATCAAATTTGACCTAAATTTATGTGACCATCATTTTTGTTCCATTGTATATGATCATTTTTTAGGTCAAATTTGTTTCAATCAAGAGCCAGATTTAACTATTGGATTATATGTAAAATTCGAGAATTTTTCGTATAGTCTTATTCTTGAGAGAAGAAAATGATTGTAGCACGTTGAGAGCTTGCCTTTGGGGGGTGAAACAGTCAATATGAGTTGTTTGTACTCGCAATTTACGTGTTTGTATTTTTGTGTAAGATCTGAAATAATGCACCAAAAAGGGAATATTCATCTTTGCGAAAAAACATATCACGTTTGTAGGTGGGACAATTGATCGTGTCAATATCTTGTTCAGGCAGTTTTTCTGAATGTTTATCAGTCTGGAAAAATAATGATGTGTGTCTCCTCTCCAAGTCCTTTTCTCCTTCTCTTTTGTCCCCTTAAAATACAAAAAAGATATAAAATAAAACAAAAATAAGAGAGATAAAATAAAATTCACCGTGATCATATTACCGGCCAATTCTTCTTGAATCTGAAAAGTTCTCTATGCAATTGCGCACAAGAAAAATAGAAATAAGTTGGTCTTTATTTGGTGAAGAGTACAGAACCATTTTGAGAAGAAATGATTAGTATAATAACATGTCAATATAATATATTCAAAATAGAACAAACATTTATTGCAAAAAGCTAATTTAAATCACCAATCAACATTAATAATTCCCAATATTATACAACATTGTTGTGGTAGTGTTTGAAACTGTTAAAGATTAAAACACTAGAAAATCACTCTTTTAGTCGCAATCGACATCTTTAGTTATCAACTTAAACAAACAAGAAAGTTCTGCGAATAAAAAAGAAAAGGGCAATTTTCATTTATACACAGCGTTTCTTAATTTATTGTAAGATTACCAAAGAGATTAATTTATTTGCAAGTTTACCTAATGCATGGAAATTAATTGATAAAATGCCTAATTTCGGTTACCTCAACAAATAGAGATCAATGTCCTTAAATGTCGCGTTTTGTTAGTCAACCGTTATTTTTGCACAGATAAGATATGTACTCAGCCGTTATCGATTTGATGTTTATATATGTATATATATATATATGTATATATATTGAGTTTATATGCAGAACATGTACCGAGCATATACAGAACATATACTAAAAAATAACATCAGATCCAGGCGAACATATACTGGACATGTGTATACCGAACATATACAGAACATATACTGAAAATAACTCCAGGTCCAGGTGTCGAGTTGTTTATAAATCTCATGAATTTCATTCCAAAACCATGAATATTTAATCCTTTTGCAATGTGGAAAAAAAACAGAGAGAGGGAGAGAGAAGGGAGAAGAAGATATGAGGGGAGAGAGAAAGGAAAATACAGAGACAGAGGGAGAGAAAGGAAGGATTCCACCGATCCGAAAAAAAAAAGAGAGAGAGAGAGAGAAGAAGGGAGAAGAAGAGATAGGGGAGAGAGAAAGTCTACCTTTAATTATGTTGATCAGTTAATTGCATACTCAATTTTTATTTAGTAATTTTGCAATTAATGTTATGCATATGGTAATTTTGCAATAAAAAGTGATATGTGTTGTATATGGTGTAATTTTCTCAAAAGAAAACAAGATCGGTATTTAGGGCTGACTTTCTCTTAATACACGTACAGGCCCATGCTATATCCATGTCAATTCCCATGCCTAAGCCCAACAGGTAAATCACATAACAACACAGCAAATTACAACATCAACAGGCTTTAATGTTGGGCCTCGAAGTAGAAGGCCCATTAATCTTGTCCCCACAGTCTTGCCCACTCCTCAAGCCCAGCGCAATCAGAAACTTGCTGTTGTTCACAGACGACGTGGCCGACGCCGGTCTCAGCCCCTCACAACCGTGGTCGGCCGGAAATCTGTGTCTCAGGCAAATTTTAGTCCGGCAATTCTTACACGTGGCGGTGTTTGAGAACGTTAATACCTGCCGGCACCTCCGGACGGGGCAAGTCGGTTTCTTCTTCTTCTTCGGGTCGCACTGACCCGACTTCTCGTGCCTCTCCAGAACCTGCTTCTCGTCCTCACCGTCGCGTCCCGTGGTCTCTACTGCGGAGGAGCAGATCTCGCACACCAGGACCTTCCGGCTGCCGGCATCGGAGTTGGGGCAGCCGTGCGATTTGTACGATCGGTGGTCCAAACAGAAAACCTAATCCCCAAATTAAATCAATTGAAAAACGAGCATCGATGAGAACTCGAACAATCGGTTCAAAATTAAACCTAACCCCAATAAAACAATCAATTAGCTAATAGCTTATTTGTTAAACTTATAAGATTTTTTTAGCTTTTCGAGCTTAAAACCAATATACTCCAAATATACAATCTTTACCTATCCTCTAATTTTATGAGCTAGTTTTTTTAGTTAAAATTATATCAGCTCTAAGCTAATGTTGCAGCTAAGTTTACCGCATACCGAAAAAGCTATAATTTCAACATTCTTCTATGAATTAACTTATCAGCTACATAGCTAGTTTTTTAATTAGATTTATCAAACATGCCTAAAAAAACGTGCATCGATGACAATTCAATCAATTGGTTTGGAATTAAATTTGTGTTTGATAAACACCGTGGACCCAAAACAACAATCAACTGAAAATGCGCATAGATAATCGATTAATTCAAAATTAATGAAGAAAAAAACTGATATGCACCTTCCGGCAGGCGTTGCAGGTGAACGGGAGGAAATCGAGTTGGCGGCAATCGGGATTTTCACAGTGGCTTCCTAAATCTGGAAAAGCTTCCGTTCCTCCTCCCATCTCTTTAATTTGGATTTGATTTGATGAGAATTTTTGTTGGGTTTTTCAATTTTGGTTTGGATTTGAGATTTTTTTGTTCTTTTTTCTTTTATTTGCTGAATGTGGGATTTGAGATTTGTTTGCGTAACGTGTGTATATATATTATGGACATAGTTGGAAGGTAGCTTTTGTGTTGGGATTTCTTGGGCGGGAGGAAACAGAAACACAGAAGGAAACACGTATTGTATTTGCGACGCGGGTCGGCAGTCAATGACCCGTCTTAAAACGGGTATGGATAATGGGCCGTGGTCGGATCTGGAATACTCTAGAAGCTTGGGTCGGTGAAATATGGGCTCGGGCTGGAAAAGGAAGAATTTGGGCCGTTTGATTAGGCAGGCATTTGTTTACTGTAATAAAGAGGCCCAATGGTCTTGACACGCTGATTAGTCCAAAATTAGTAACTTTTAATCACTATTTTGGAAAAATCAGTTGGATTTGTGGGTTCGTTGATGATTATTAATAAAAATTAGCCAATATCTTGTGAGCTCATCAAGTTTGTTGGTAATTTGTAGTGTCGTGTGTGCTGCTGGGCAAAGTTAAATTTTAGCATGGAGTCACAAAAAAAGTAACTTGTATGTTATGTTTCTTAAAGCAAAGTGTGTTTGTGAAAAGGTAACTATTCTGCTCCTTTTAGAGAAGAAAAGACAAAAAGCTAAAAACAAGAAAGTTAGAGTGGGATTTACCAATCAAATTATCGGGTTGAGAGATGTAACTTAATCTCTAATTTGTTGAATCTATTGGTTTTGAATGTAGTTAGTTAGGTTACTCAATCAAGTAGCTGTTAAACAAACTTGTTCGTGAGCTCAAATCGTTATGTTTCGAATTCAGTTCGACTCATTTGATAAAATATTCGAGCTGTTTGATATCGCTCAAAGCTTATATACTTAACGAGTCAAACTTATTAAGACTTGAGAATAATGTTTTTACATAATTTTCTGAACTAATATTTTTTACCTTGAAAAATATTAGCGAGCCGAGCTCGAGCTCGAACTCTTTTAACTAACGAGTAAAGATCCGCTCGACTCATTTGCACCTCTACTTCAAACATGATGCAATTGTCATTTGTCATTCTAATCAATTATACACACATTTAATTAATAACAGTATAATCATTATTAGACAGAATTAAAAGTTAACAGTTACATAGTTATATATTGTCAATAACTATATTTATTTCTAAATAAAATAATTATTTTTATTCAAAAAAATGTCACGAGTCAACTCAATCAATCTAAACATTTGTCTACTTCACCCATTTAAGCATAATGAAAGATTTTAAGCTAGACATGTTATAAAAGCTAATCTTGAATTATACACCCATTTAGAGCTGGATTATACTCATTTGACTCACCATCAAGACATAAAAAAATTGTGGTGAAGATTGATAAGAAATAATAATTAGGGGCCACATTTATCAACACCAAACAAAAAGGTAGGTGCCAATTTGTAAAGAAGCAGAATAATCTCCTCCTTTTTGTAAAGGTCCAAAAGCATATATGCCTGTTATGTTCTTATTTTAATTACAAAGAGGCCCACAGCCCACTCATTACCAAGAATTCATATTAATTTTGCACATTTTATAAGCTATAATAGTGACTTGTTTGACATTTTTTCCAATATACTTTCTGCATAAAGCAAAATGCAAGATGATGGTGCATTACATGAAGATAATAATCAAAGAGGGTATTTTTGTCAAAAAGTTTGAATGTAGTTGTCACAGTTTGATAATAAATGTAACAATTTACTATAAACAAAAATAATTGAGTCAAAGCTATAAACTATAAACTAAATATCCATTCAATACATATTTATATTACTAAAATTTTACTATTAGACACATGTTTATATAACAATCTTTGCTACCTATCCGAATGTACTTGTCGAATTTGAGAGAAGAAGTCTTGGGCTTTAAAAGCAAAGAAGTCGAAAATCGGCCGAAAATGCTCAAAATAAGCCTAAGTTGGGAGAAAGGACCCTGGACAGGCCAATTTCGCACCCGCGAACATCTAACCCGCGAGCTGAGCAATTACGCGAGCAACCAGTGCTGCCAGCTCGCGCCCGCGAAGAGCCTTCCGCGCCTGCAAACTTCTACCTGCTCGCGAAGTGGATTCTGCGCCTGCGAGTTGCATTCCGTGAGGTCGGGAGCAACAACAGAGAACAAGGTCCAAAAATTTCGAGCCTGCGAACTGGCACCCTGTGCCTGCGAATGCAAGAATGCCCGCGAGTCCACAATACCCCATGCCTGCGACTTCACCTGTGCCCGCGAGTGCCGTTCTTCATGCTTGCCATCGAATTCAAAGCTCGCGCCCGCGAGCTTACTGGTTCCCGCGAGCCACCATGCGAGTGAGGATGTTTGAGACCGTTCGGGGCCGTTCGTAGTAGTAGTCGGTTTCCATTGCCGTTTCCTTTCCTCATACGTGTCTCAACGTGCGGTATTACGAGATCTACGAAGGATTTCTATTATTTAGTTTTCCATTACTAATGAGTGACTAACCAATTTGTAGTTCGCCTCATATTCCTTGCCTGGCGAATGCAGAACTGACTTAGTGGTTGCCCATTACGCTTTTGTATACCGTTGAACGGTTGCCCGGAACATTTTTTATATATATATTTACATTTAACGATAAAAAATAAATAAATAAAATTTTACTATTAGTTCACGTTAACTCTATTGACAAACACAAAATTTTGTACATACCAATGATTAGACATGTTTGCCCGTCATACATTTTTTGAATAAAAATTACTAGTACAGTATCCGTGTACTACACGGGTGACTCATAAAATAATTAAATATACAATAAAAAATAAAAAAAAAAAAATATTTTTTGAAATTAAAAAAATAAATAAAGAATAATATGTAATAATTTATAATAAATAATTAAGTAAATTAATAATATTATTTTAAATTCTGAAAACTAATTTATATACATCATTAATTTTATTTATAATATTTTTATTTAAAACACATAAGAGAATAATATAAACAAAGCACAAAATTTGAAAAGTAAGATTATATGTATATTATAGAAAGAAGATAATATGGAATGACTTTTTTTTTCGGTACAATTATATGGAATGATTTAAATATATTAAATATGTGTATATATATGGTAATCTGAAACTATGTTATTTGGTATAAAAAAATTAGTAATTTTTATCCAACCCATATTACAAAGCATAATATTTTGTCTTGTAAAATTACAAAGCATGCGAAACTACCACTTAAATTCAGCCCGTTATGAAATTATATACAAGGGGTAAGGGAAATATGTTAAACGTCATTGTTTGCTTATGTTATTTCTTATGTGATGTCAGTTAAAGCATTTTCAATATTTGAGTCTAATTGATAAAATACCTAGCGTCACATAGAACTTAAAACTTTTTATATTAATAAAAGCACTCATATATACTTGAGATCCACATCATTTTAGACTTAATTTTAGAATATTGTATTAGAGTAACATTTTTCTTTTCTTTCTCCATATCGTTTAAGACTAAAGTCTATTACTATAAAAATTAAGCAAAATTAACCTTAACTCATGCTGAATACTCTTATAGATAAAATTATGTATATTTATTAAAAAAATAAAAAATAGAATTGCTTAACATATAGCAAAAGCAAATAATATTTAAAGATATGAAAACTTAGCAAAGGTAAGACTTAGCAAGGTAACACCTCCATTGAGTTGTGAGCCTTTAAAAGACGTAAAAAGAAACTTAGCAACTAAGAGAGAGCAAAAATAATTGGACACGCACGACGAGTAGCTTTACTTTGCATGTATTATTCATACAAATACAAGGAAATTAAATATGGGAATCCTTTTTCGCCATTCAGCTTTTGGCCTCAATTTTGACCAACTTTAGTTATTATTTTTTTCTTTTCTTATGCATATATGTCATGGCCAATAATATTGCACAATGAACATTACTTTAGAAAAACTTATCTACACTATTTCATTAATTATTCATACTACATGATACAAGTACACAATCATGCATTTTTAAATATTTCATTCACAGTTAATATAATATGATACAACCCTTTTATTTTGAATTTATAATCTAACTTCACAATATAAAATATAAATAAAACAAGCTATTAGACAAATCTAACTAGTAGACATCAAGTCATATACATTCATGTAATATTATAGAAAATGAAAAGAGTAATAATTAACATTTTGTCCACCAAATTCTAAACAGACTAAAATCAAGAAACTGAAAACCTGTATTTTTTATACAAGAATTCTATGGAGTCATCAAATGACTCAGTCATCCATCACATTTTATAGTGACACATATCCAATGTGTATTTATTGTAATCATGAAGCGTATTGAATATGACACATAGGTTAATTATCAACAATTAGCACATAATATAAAATATATATACGGTTTATTCCACTTGAATTATTAAGTAATTTAAAAATTTAACAGTACAGATAATGCTCAATTGTTGAATTTTCCTCCATATGTAATGGCCACTTAAAATTTCCAAACTCAAATCGACTCGATCTTACTACAAATGTATAATTTTATAGTGTTACAGTTGTTAGAAAAGTATAACGGTTAACTCTATATATAATTTTATTAACTATATATTTTCAAACATGACTGAGATATATTAAAAAAGAAAGTAAAGTAAATTAAGTTTGGTATTCTTTGATGCAAATATATATTTTTGTTGAAAAAGTATGATGAATCTATCTGTGTCTAATTGTGTTAACTATTTCATAATATTGTGAACTAATAATTATACAATATTTTTTTTTTAAAAAAAAAAAACGCATGCAACTCTCTTTTAGTCTTATTGTATTTCATTCGTTTTTCAACACTTTACACTCAAGTAGATGAAACCAAATTTCAAATATAGGCTCATCATTGGTAAAAAAATATCACAATGTAATCCTCAATTTCTATATTATACACCTTTTTCTTTGAAGTAATAATGGTAGACTGTACACAATGTTATGTATAAAGAGAGGTATTGATCATGTGGAGGAGTAACGAGTTGATCTTGCTCCTACCCAATTGGATTGTACACCCGATTGGAATTGTGTGTAGATTTAACAATAAAATATAACACTAATAAGTAGAATTGAAATTATCTACACCAATTATGTACACA